ATGCTAATGAAGCCCGGGAAATTCAAATCCCGGGCTTCATTAGCTCTTGGGGTATGTCTACACTACCCCGCTAGTTCGAACTAGCGGGGTAGTGTAGACATACCCTGAAATCCCTGCAGACAATAGCCATTAATACTGAATCAGATAAGGAACCTTGGTTGGGTAAATTTATGTCAGTGAGGTTGTCAGCTTTGTACTATCACAGACACATACTCCAGTTGAATTTTCATTATTGTGGAACCTCTACCATGTTTACAGTGGGAAAAACCATCAGAAAGCCTGAGTTAACCTATCTCAACCCCTTCAACAATGCATATAGAAATGTTTCTTATGAAGCTTAGAAATGTCTGTCTCTTGTTCTCCCCCAAACATGAAAGGAGAATATTGCATCAGCAGCCCTTGGTTGAAGCTAAAAGAAACCCTAAAAATGGAATTATGTATTTCTGATCTTTCATCAGAAACACCAAGAGAAGGACAATATAACTATCTGTAGGCAAACTTGGTGGATGAATGCCATTCCCAATGTGGCATTCATTTCTTTCATGAAGATAAATATTTTTCTAGAAATGTGGCTTTTGCTGATGCTCAGAGCAGCATTTTAATGAATAAAAGTTTTTTTATTTTTAAAAGCATGTTTGTTCAAAATATACAACATGATAGTCTTCTTGCTACCTATTTATATATCCCTGCCCCCAATTTTATTATGGCCGCGTCTTCACTACGTGGAAGATCAACGCTGCCACGATTGATCTTCTGGGAATTGATTTAGCATGTCTAGTAAAGACTCTCTAAATCAAACTCAGAGGGTGCCCTCATTGGCACCGGTACTCCTGCTCCTCATGAGGAATAAGGGAGTTGATGAGCGCATTTGCTTCTGTCGACCTCCCACTGTGTGGACAGTGCAGAAACTCTATTTAAGATAAGTTGACTCCAGCTACATAATTAACGTAGCTGGAGCTGCGTATCTTAATTCAACCTTCTGCTGTAGTGTGGACCTGGCCCATCTTTCTTCACCGTGAGCAGTACATTGCTAGTCCCCATTGAAATCAATGATACTGTATGTGTAGTAAAATTCTACTTATTATGAAAAGGATGGCACAACAAACTTCAAGCTATCCTATTTTTAAATTTGGAGCATTTAGGCATGACTAATTACTTTTTAAATACGGATTTAAACAAATAAAACAAACTTTCCCCCCTAGTTTTAGAAAACACCCATTTATAGTTTTGATAACAAGAAAAAGCATGTTTTTCCCAAATTGAGTTTTAAAAATGTTCCTTTACTGAGATCATATATGCTTAATCATAAAAGAAAGGTTGGTTTTTAAATTATAATTGTTGTTTGAAAAACAGAAGAAAAATCTAAGTTTGACATCTGCCGCTTTTGAGATAAAGAAATACTGTGAAATGACTTGGTCAGTTTAGTTACATGAGGATTTAAAAATCATATATTGATGATTCTATAAAAATGAACATTCAAAAATGTCTTATTGTAAAACCAGGAAATGATAAATTGAAGTTTTCAATTGAAATTTTAACCCCCCCTCCCAAAAAAATGTTTAAAAATTGGCTTTGGAAAGGACATTTTTCATGCCCCCACCATAAAACAGTTTGTTTGGAAAATCTCCAGTTATGAGCAAATAAAAAGTTGGGGGTTTAAGCAATAATATCTAAATTTTTTGATACAGGCAGTCCCCGACTTACGCGGATCCGATGCACTTACAAACGGGGCTTTCTCGCCCCGGAGCTCGCAGGCAGCGGTCAGCCACCTCGACCTCCGGGGCGAGAAAAGCTGCTCGCGGTGCCCCTGGTCTGCTGGGGACCGTCTCCAGCAGACCAGGGGCATCGGGAGCAAAGCCGCAGCCCGGGCGGATTTGCTCGCGGTGCCCCTGGTCTGCAGGGGACCGTCTCCAGCAAACCAGGGGCACCGGGAGCAAAGCAGTCCCGCGCCAGAGCAAAGCCTCAGAGGCGAGGCACCCCCTGCTGCCGCTTTGCTCCCTGTGTCCCTGGTCTGCTGGGGGGGGCGCAGCTAGTGTGCCCCCCCAGCAGACCAGGCTTTTGTTGTGGACCTTGGGGCAGAGCAGCTGGGGCGCTGCCGGTTGGTCCCGCAGCGCCGCTCTGGGCACTACTGGACCAACCCGGCAGCACCCCAGC